GAGCAACAGAACCAAAAAATCTGAGCACAGGGGTCTTTCCTGAGACTGATATTCCAACCAAGGACCAGGCATGGAGATAACCTAGGACCCCTGCACAGATGTAGCACATGGCAGTTCAGTGTCCAAGTGTGTTTCATAGTAATAGGAACAGGGACTGTCTCTGACATGAACTGATTGGCCTGCTCTTTGAGGGGGAAGCAGCATTACCAGGCCACAGAGGAAGACAATGCGGCCATTCCTGATGAGACCTCACTGACTAGGATCAGAAGGAAGGAAAAGAAGACCTCCCCTATCACTGGACTTGGGGAGGGGCATGCATGCAGGGGGGGAGAGGAAGGGGTTTGGAAAGAAGGAGAGAGGGAACCACAGGGGGGATACCAAGTGAATAAAGTGTAATTAATAAATAATTTTAAAAAGTGGAGTCCTCTGCCATTTCTCATTAGCTTTGTGGCTTTAGAATTCGAGAAGGAAAATTAAAGAAGGAAGTGTTACATTCAGAATATAGTCCAAATTCAAAAAAAACAGACAAAAAGCTTGAGTTCTTCAACATGAAAACTTGTTTCACTTCTCCTTGGGAGCAACAAATTCTTGATTCTTTCTCAAGTAGGAATACCCCTTCCTATTTTGAGTCCTTCTTTCTTAGATCATAGCTCACAAGCCTAAGTTCTAGATCTGTTTATATATATTCTCACCAACAACCTAAGTAAAATACTCTGTAACTTTAAATACCATCTCCCACTCATTGAACTCTGGTTCAACATTACATATAGGTGGTTGTGACTCCTTAGTGTAAATAAACTTATTTGTCTTTTATCAAAATGTTAATTCCATGAAGTAAGGACATTATTCTTACATTTTTACTGATGTAGAAATATACAATAACCAGCACTTGAAATCTGCCTCATTAGAATGTACTAAAACAAAAACACAGACATGAAAAATATCTGAGAACAAAATCCCCAAGATGCTGGAGTGTAAGAGGCAATTGAAACTATGGAAGACAGAAGTACCAGAGAAAAACATCAAATTACAGAAGTCAGAGGTTAGTCTTGGAGGGGAATCCAGAAAGATCTCACCTGCTCCATCTGCTTGGGCTGCCTTTCAGACCCAGTCACCATAAGCTGTGGCCACAGCTTCTGTCAGGCCTGCCTCTGCCTTTCCTGGGAAGACCTGCAAGTTCCTGTCCACTGCCCCACATGTAGGCATCCATCCCAGCAGAAGGACTTCAGAACCAACATTGTTCTGAAGAAGCTGGTGTCCACTACCAGATAGGACAGTCTCACGAAATAACTGAGGTACCTGAGCTCTGAGGAGAACAAGTGTGTGACCCACAAGGAGGCTAAGAGCATCTTCTGTGAGGAGAACAGGGTCCTCCTCTATCATATGTGTTCTGACTCCCAGGAGCACAAGGGTTACAGACACTGTCAGCCTGAAGCAGCTGCTAATGGGCAAGCAGTAAGTGATGTTTCTGAGAGAACATGACAGCTGGAGAGAGGGAGCTTAGCAGAGCACAGGAAGATGCCTGTCCTGGTGATGACAAAACCACTGTGTTCTGATTGGTGGCAATTTTTGAAGAGCTAAAGGAGAAAGAGTGACTATAAAATGTAACTTCCCTTGGGAAACATGATAAGTGTAAAATCATTTTTGGTCTTATGGTTCACTATGTTCATATCACTGAAAAGTAACATAGTAAACTTATGTCTTAAAAAGTCCATGAACGGAAAATGAATTAGCAAAAGTACATTAGAATTAGCTAGAGAGAAGCATAAGATCCAAATCACTCAGACATTACTCAAGCCTATTACTCAGTTACTTGAGTTAATAGTCATATTGCATTGTTTATGTCTATGTTCTGAAATATAAAATTTGTAGTTACCAATGTCAGAACAAAAAGACATTGTAAGCTCTACTCTTCGTAAACTAATTGTATTTTTTGCCCAAAAGTCAGTACATCATAGTATTTATATTTATTGTTTTTTACAGCTGAAACTTCTGAAGCAAATGGCATCTCTATGGGAAAAAGTGAAGGAAAATCAGAAGAATCTAGAAGCAGAAAAAAGAATGACAACTCAGTGGATGGTGGGTCTGGGACTGATGCTTAAATTAGCCAGAGGCAGATATATTACAACCTTGATGTTCACAGTTTTAGAATGAAGCATGGAATATGATGCTAGGAAATCTGTTTCTGCTGGCACAAAAATACATCTTTTTGTAGAGAACAAATGGCCTGGTTGTGAGGCAGAAAATTTGAGGCTAATGGGTAATCGGCTGATAGTTCACCACAGTGACTGTAGCATGAATTCTAACTACTGCGTGCTGACTTTCATATTTATATTAACATACTAATTATCAATCAAAATTTTTTTCTTCAGGTAGCTCAGGATATCTTTTAGTAGATGAATATGAATACAGAAAAGGATGAATATTTTTGCTTGTGCTATTAATAAATAAGAAATTGATGAAGTCAAAGAATTTCTATTTCTGAAGAGTATGGACAGGAAATCAGTGTGTGCAGCACACTGACAGGATCCTCTAGTCAACTTTCAACATAGAAGGAGTCAGTGGAGAGGATAAAATGCTCTGTAAATGTGATCTAGAATGTACCTTCTCCTTCAGGACTCTTCAGAAAGAAATGATTAAGACAGAGTATAAGAAATTCCATACAGTCCTCTATGGAGAAGAAGAGCAGCATATAGAGTGTATGGACAATGAAGGCCAAACTATGTTAGAGAATCTCAGGAAAAGCGAAGCCTTGATGGTCTGAAAAAGGAATCAACTAATAGAAATGTATCGGGAGCTGATGACAATGTGCCAGCAGCCATATGTGGTGCTGCTCCAGGTGAGCATGGATTAGTGCAGGAAAGGGCTTTGTTATCTGAGGCCCACACTGTGACTGTTACATCTAAGACAGCTGTCTACAGTCCCTGCACTTATTGTCAGTGGGTATTAGGGATAGTCTGGAGACACGATGTTCAGCCATAACCTTAAAAGAGCAAGATTTTGACCCTGTGTCAGTAGATTCCCCATTGAATACCTCATTTTTTTTTTGCTTTTGTAGCTTGCTTCTCTGAAATCCCAAATTCAGTTATTCCTGTTACCAAACATTCATTCTTTTTTGCCTCTACTTGAAAATTATGTACAATTATAAATAAGTTTATAGTTAATGTCTTCTCTTTACAAATATAATTTTGTGTGTTCTTTGGAAGATGAAGCTTTGATGTACGGACTTCTTTGGTGGTGAATTATGGCCTGAAACTCATAGTAATTCTGAGGTCTAAAAACCCCAAATTCTGGAAATATAGGCATGAGGTGTCATTCAGGGGTCAGATCACAGTTTTAAAGTAGTCGTGGTAAAAGCGTTCCTGTGCATTGTAGACAGGCTCAAAGAAAGCCCCATTTGTAGATTGCTGTGGGTTGTAAAATAATGTACAATCACTCTGCATGTTCTTCTCAATTATTGCCCTCGAAGTCTGATTTCATCAAGAATTCTCTTCTGCTCATTTGCTTGGATGGTATTATCTTAAGACATGAAAATAAATTTGAAAGGTCAATAAGTGTGATGATGACTAACATTTCTATGAACTTCATATACAAACATTGTATGTCATTTCTTCAGAAACCTAAACATTCTGTTGTCTTTGCAGGACTTGGAAGACATGTTCAGAAGGTGAGTACAGTCATCAGTGTAAGCCAGGATCCTTGAACTAGGCTATAAAATTGACCAAGTTGCCTTAGCAAACTAAAAATATACTTTAGATAGGAATAATACTCAGTTGCTTGTGTATAATGTTTGAGATTGGTTTCATGTATATGACATCTGTTCTTTACCAGAAAGTGCTTTCCTTTATTTACTACATAATAGAGAAGCAGTGTATGTAAGAGGGCTTGGTGATAATATATCTACTTTTGAAATCATAACACTTGAGGCCCATCAGCAGCATTTTCTGATAGTAGAAGAAATGCCAGGACACATGGACAAACAAATTGGTGGCAGGAAGGGCTCCAAAAAGTATCTAGGCGGAAACTACCCTGTCTCCAGATCTTGGGGTCACTATGATATCAGAAAATGCTTGTGTGAAAGATTTTCACTCAACTGTTCACTTGTACTAATTTGATTTGCTTTCTTTGTGTTTGCGCATGAATGCACGTGCGCCATTGTACACGTGTGGAGGTCAGAGGACAACTTTCAGGAGTCAATCCTTTCCTTCCACCATGGGTTTCAGGGATTGAAATCAAGTTGTCAGGCTTGTGTGGGAAGGGATTTAACTCCTGAGTCACTGTCTGAGTTGGAGTGAACATAAAATAACTATATACACAAGGATGTATATCATGAGCAAATAAAAATAAAACAAATTAATAGGACAAGAGAGAGGGTCTAAATTTCCCTGTTGGATCTAAATGTGAATTATACCCTCACAGGAAAGAGTATCAGAGAAGCCAGGGGATAAAAACAGACAGTTACAACCAGCAAACCACTTTTAATGCATATGTAGCCTTTCCTTGAGTATAAACATGGTGGATTTGTACATATTTATTCACAACATAGCAAAAGGCAGAGACAGATTTACGTTGGTTCGAGGCAAGTGTGGTCTACAGAGTTAGTTCCAGCACAGCTAGCACTATATTAAAAAAAAAGTCTCAAAACCCAAAATATCATGTGTCAAGTTAAAACAAAATTAGCCAGCAAATACATATCGGTGCTTGATACCACTAAGATAGAATCCCACATCTAAATAATATTTTTATAATGCTAAATCCAACTGAGGGTCCTGAGCATTCTTAAAAATGGCTTTAATTCTGAAATTGAATATTACTGCTAATTGATAATTGATAATTATCAAATGATAATTGATAATTCTGAAATGTATACAAAGACTAATAAGGAAACATAGTCAGCCACATTTAATAATATTTTATTGTATAATTGCAAAAAAAAGAGTGAGAGATAACCATACAGAAAGAGATAATTAAACAGCACAGAAGTACTGGATTACAGCTTTCTATGACAATCTGTCGCCAAAACAGAAGAAAGGCCTGACAGGGTAATTGAAGGTGCCAGGAGGGTAACTGTATATGAGGGAACTCTTGGCTACATCCAGGAAACTCACACATCCACCCTCACAATCAAGGAGCACACCAACCCGGCCCACTGGCTTCTCTATATAGTGTTGAGATTCTGGGCAGGTGGTGAGGAGACTGTACTGGTTACCCTGCTTCACACACACAAGGAGAAATACACCCTCAGGTTCAGTCTCTTGGCTGCCATCTTTACAGACTCCTACAGCCCAGTCCAAAGACTCTACTAAATTCAGCTCCCAGTAATATTTCCCAGAGGTGAAGCTCTGTGATCCCCAGGCGGGAAAATAGTGTTGAGATGATTTCACAGATGTCTCCTGATGGTGAGGTCTAAAGATGAATCTTCTCACAACATCAAATGGGGTCTTGTCACGGGCTAAGATTGTAGTTCCAAATGAAATGACCACTGTGGAAAGAGGCAACATTTTAATTAAAATTAGCATTTTAATTTCTCAGATGAGAGAGGTACCTGGAGATTGCCTGAATTATAAAAGAGACATCTAAGGCTAGAGGGTTAAATGTGGCTCAAACACTTCAAAGTCAAGAAATTACACAAGCAACAGAATGGGATCCTGATGAAAACAAGAGGAGGGAGCTTCATCCTACTTCTATCATGTGACTTTTAATTACACCTGGCAAAAGGAAGATGTGTTTATTGATTCAAGGTCTAGAGTGAAGGGTGTCCTCATGGGCTTCCATCAAAACTCATTTCTAAGAGAGGCAATGATAATCATATTATGATTTGCATGTAAACCCTTATGTTTATACTCAAGGAAAGGCTTAATATGCATTAAAAGTGGTTTGCTGGTTGTAATTGTCTGTCTTTATCCCCTGGCTTCTCTGATACTCTTTCCCTATGAGGGTATAATTCACATTTAGATCTAACAGGGAAATTTAGACACTGTCTCATGTCGTATAAATTTGTTTTCTTTTTATTGCTCATGATATACACCCTCGTGTATATAGTTATTTTATGTTTATTTTTTTAGTTTTGTTTGATACAGTCTTGGTATATATTTTTGACTGGCCTGGAACTCACTGTATTAACCAGGCTAGCCTCAAACTCATGGGCAATTCTCATGACTCAACATGATACTGTTGGAATTACAAGTGTATAGCATTACATTTTATGTATTTTTAATCTAAAAAATGCATGTACATTATAAATTCAAATGTTAAAATGTTTAAGGAAAGACAATAGAATATCTCCATCACTGGGTACATTTAACATGAATTAGATTGTCTTCAATTAATTTATCATTCCTTATGTCTCAAGGAACAAATGATACTATATTTTCATCCTGGGTCACATATAACAATATATTCATGTTCATATATATTTTTAAAATGATCATGTGAATAAACAAGATTAGAAATGAGACTTACATTGACATATCTTCCAGTGGAGATTAAAAGAAAATCATGTGTGTTAAGGTTATCTCATTGTTGAAGGAACCTCTGGTCATTTCAGCAGTGCTGACACTCACCTAGGAAGCACTTGCACCTCTCAATCAGTCCAGTGATGCGCAGGGCACTGAGCTTTGGTTTCATCACCTGGGGCATGCAGAGCTGCATTGACTCACTCCTGCAAGGAGAAGAAGACCTTAGTCTGCCTGGTGCTAAAGACACCATCACAGTGATTAGGAGAAATGCTCACTCCAAGTCAGACAGTGACTCAGGAGTTAAATCCCTTCCCACACAAGCCTGACAACTTGAGTTCAATCCCTGAAACCCATGGTGGAAGGAAAGGACTGACTCCTGAAAGTTGTCCTCTGACCTCCACAAGTGTACAATGGCACACATGCATGCACAAACATAAAGAAAACAAATCAGATTAGTACAAGTAAACAGTTGACAGAAAATCTTTCATACAAGCATTTTCTGATATCATAGTGACCCCAAGAACAGGAGACAAGGTAGTTTCCGCCTAGATACATTTTGGAGCCCTTCCTGCTACCAATTTGTTTGTCCATGTATCCTGCCATTTCTTCTACTATCAGAAAATGCTGCTGATGGGCCTCAAGTGTTATGATTTCAAAAGTAGATATATTATCACCAAGCCCTCTTACATACACTGCTTCACTATTATGTAGTAAGTGAAGGCTCTTTCTGGAAAAGAATAGGTGTCATATACATGGAACCAATCTCAAACATCATACACAAGAACTGAGTATTTCTATCTAAAGTATATTTTTAGTTTGCTAAGGCAATTTGATCAATTTTATAGCCTAGTTCAAGGATCCTGGCTTGCACTGATGACTATACTCACCTTCTCAAAATGTCTTCCAAATCCTGCAAAGACAACAAGAATAGCTTAGATTTCTGAAGAAATGAAATACAGTGTTTGTATATGAAGTTCATACAAATATTACTCATCATCACACCTTTCAAATTTATTTTCATGTCTTAAGATAATACCAACCAAGCAAATGAGCAGAAGAGAATTCTTGAAGAAATCAGACTATGAGGGCAATAACTAAGAAGAACATGCATACATAGTGAACTCACATTGCTTTACATTGTCTACAATTGGGACTTTCCTTGAGCCTGTCTATAAAGCATAGGCATGCTTTTACTAAGAATTCTAAGAACATACAAAAATACATTTTGTAAAAAGACATTAACTATAAATTTTCTACATAACTTCATTAACTACATAATTTTCAAGTAGAGACAAAAAAACAACGAATGTTTGGTAACAGCAATAACTGAATCTGGGATTTCAGAGAAGCAAGCCACAAAAGCAAAAAAAATAAGATATTCAATGGGAAATCTACTGACACAGTATCAAAAGCTTGCTCTTTTAAGGTTATGACAGAACATAGTGTCTCCACATTATCTGTGAAAAGGAAATCCACTGACAATAAGTGCAGGGACTGTAGACAGCTGTCTTAGATGTAACAGTCACAGTGTGGTCCTCAGACAACAAAGCCCTTTCATGCACTCCTCCATGCTCACCTGGAGCAGCACCACATATGGCTGCTGGGACATTGTCATCAGCTCCCGATACATTTCTATTAGTTGATTCCTCTTTTGGACCATCAAGGCTTCACTTTTCCAGAGTTTCTCTAAAAGAGCTTGGCCTTCATTTTCCATACACTCTATATGTTGCTTTTCTTCTTCATAGAGGACTGGATGTACTTTCCTATACTCTGTCCTGATCATTTCTTTCCGAAGAGTCACGTAGTCCTAAAGGAAAAGGTACATTCTAGATCACATTTACAGAGCATTTTATCCTCTCCACTGACTCCTTCTATGTTTAAAGTCGATGAGTAGCATCCTGTCAGTGTGCTGCACACACTGATTTTCTGTCCCCACTTTTCATAAATGTGAATTATTTTCTTTCATTCATTTAATAGCACAAACAAACCCATCATTTTCTCTAAGCATTTTCATCAATTTAAGGACATCTGAGCCACCTGAAGAAAAGGTATTCATTGCTAATTCAGACATTCACTCAAAGAAGAACCTCTGCAGGTATTAGTTAATCATCACGGGGCAGTCATAGGATCAAATGCAATGTGATGAACTGTCAGCAGATCACTCATTAAACATTTCTGCCATAGCCAGGCCATGCTTTCTGAGTGCAGCATTGTATATTACACTCAGAATTAGAGGCCTGCAGAAAAGGTCCTCCTAGTATCAACGCCCATGCTTTATTCTCAACTTGTGAATGAGCAGGCTTGCAAGAGAGTTAGTTGCCTCAAGCTGATTTTCAGCTTCAGTCCCATACCCACCAACCACTGTGTTGGCATTCTCTTCTCTGCTTCTAGATTCTCTTGATTTTCTTGGATCTTCTCCCATAAAGATGCCATTTGCTTTAGAAGTTTCTCCTGTAAACAAGAATAAACACATTAATAGTCCTGATTGTCAGACAATAGAAATGAATAGTTACTTCAGAGAAATTTGAAAAATCACCATGTTCTTACTTTCTGACTTTGATAACTATGAGTTTTAGATTTCAGACTGTAGAAATACAAAATAACTCTTTACTCAAGTAACATGATTAGTAAGCCTGACTAAAGTCTGGGTAATTTGGATCTGACTGGGATTTCTAAATGCTTCTCTCCAGCTAATTCCAATGTACTTTTAGTAATTTATCTCCAGTGACATACAACTTTTAAAGATGTGAATTTACTAATTTTCTTCCCACCGACATCAGCATAATGTATTACAAAACTAGAAATTATTTTACACTAATGGATTTCCCAAGGGATGCTTACATTTTATAGTCATCCTTTCTCCATTAGCTGTTTTTAAAATGCCACCATTCAGAATGCAATGGTTTCCTTGTAATCAGGACATGGATCTTCCTGTGCTCTGCTAAGCTCCCTGTCTCCACCTTTAAAGTTCTCTCAGAACCATCACTTACCATTTGCCCCTCAGAAGCTGCTTCAGTGGGACAGTGTCTGTGACCCTTGTGCTCCTGAGATTCAGAGCACAATTGACAGAGAAGGACCCTGTTCTCCTCACAGAAGATCCTCTTTGCCTCCTTGTGGGTCACACACTTGTTCTCCTCAGAGCTCAGGTACTTCATGAGGATATCCTGTCTGGCAATGTTCACCAGCTTCTTCAGAACAAGGTTGGTTCTGAAGTCCTTTTGCTGGGATGGATGCCTACACGTGGGACAGTGGACAGGAACTTGCAGGTCTTCCCAGGAAAGGCAGAGGCAGGCCCGACAGAAGCTGTGGCCACAGCTTGTGGTGACTGGGTCTGTAAGGCAGCCCAAGCAGATGGGGCAGGTGAGCACTTCCTGGAAGGCCTGTGAGATGCCTGACTCCATTTTCCTGAGGAAAGAAGCAGAATTACTATTCTTGGACCCCAGAGAAACAAGAGACTGCACAAAATCTGAGTCAAGTTGTGATTCAAGTCTGTCTATGGCAAAAGAGCCTTCATTTTTTGTATAACCAAGAAGAAAACTAAGCATAAGGTTGTGTTACAGTTTTCCTGGTGGTAACACAGAATGAGCTCATGATCTTCTGTGTCTTCCCATCTGCATTTCTTATAGAGACTTCAGCTTAAATTGGTACCTTGGTTCAAGGCCAAAGACATCTTCGATGCTGTAAAGTGATCAAAGTCCTTCAATTTCACACGCTGGTCTTTCATCACAGACATATGTTAGTAAAACACCTTCTTCTTGTCTATCCAATAAAATGCACCCTACTTCACACCTTCTCCACTAAATGCTTTTGCTTGATATCTGACATCAAGTTTCCACTGTTCCACCTTTTGATACATTGTAAATAGTATTAGTTATTTCTCTTAATTCTGCTACAAAATACTAACAAGAATAATACTTTATGTTGGCTCATAGCTCAAGGTTATTGGCCATGTGCTGTGAAAGAAATGGTAGCAGGAGTTCAAAGCATCTGTTCTCATGGCATCTGATTTAAGGGAGCAGGAAGGAAGGAATGTTTGCTGCTCTGCTCCTCTTTCCCTTTTTCTTCAGTTTGAGACCCCAACCCATGGAATGGGGCAATGATCTCAGTAGAATTTATGGAGAATCTTCCTACCTGACATAAATCTAACCCAATAATCAGTAATGGACTTGTGCAGTCATTTTCATATCAATCCTAAATGACATCAATTGAATACTAGGAAAATTCTCCATGGAAACCTGTTTGCTTCCCAAAGACACAACTCCTGCCTTGAATTTATGGGAGGAAATCCTGAGGCATAAATGAAGCTCACACGACTATTTCAGACTTATCTATCTAACCAACAGATGCTCATTTTTCATCTCTTTTAAATTTTACCCAAAGAAATAATCTTGCTTAGATTGACTCCAATTGTTTATTTTTTTAAAGATTTATTTACTTATTTGTTTGTTCATTTATTCAGTATTCTGCCTGCATGTATGCCTGAATGACAGAAGAGGGCACCAGATCTCATTATAGATGATTGTGAGCCACCATGTGGTTTCTGGGAATTGAACTCAGAACTGTTGGAAAAACAGCCAGTGGTCTTATCCTCTGAGCCATCTCTCCAAGTCTGATTAATGCCAATTTTGTGAAACTAACTTAAGTTTCTGGGATTTGACACAGATGGAGTCAAATGGCTTTAAAGGTGGTCCAGAGTAACTGAAAATCCAGGACTAACACTCATTGTCAATGATTAGTTTAGCAAAGAGATTGTGCCTTCCTTAACTTCTCTAATGGTCATGTTTTCCACAAAGGTAATTTATTCTATATTAGACACCTCACCTCCTAATGCTTTAGAAGTACACAGAGATAACTAAAATCAAACACAGAAATTGAAGATTGCATCAGACTTTAACCTGAATGTACTATTATAAACAGAATGGTGTGATTGGTGCTGTCTTTAATTGTATGTAGCTTTCCAACCCAATACCAATCTCTGTCAGGAATAGTCAGTCCTCCAACATAGTAGACTATCAAGCAGCTCTTAAGATTCAATGCAATTCACATCAAAATCCCAATACAATTCTTTACAGACCTTGAAAAACAATTCTCAACTTCATATAGAAAAAAAACAGGATATCTAAAATAATCCTGTATAATAAAAGAACTTCTGGACCTATCACCATCCCTCATTTCAAGCTGTACTACAGAGCAATAGTAATAAAAATCATATGGTATTGGCATAAAAACAGACAAGTTAATCAATGGAATCTAATCAAAGACCCAGAAATAAACTACACACCTACAGATACCTGACTTTTTACAAAGAATTCAAAACCATACAATAGGGAAAAGAAAGAATCTTCAACAAATCGTGCTGGTCTAACTGGATGTCTGCATGCCCAAGAATGCGAATGCATCCATATTTATCACCCTGCACAAAACTCAAGTCCAGGTAGATCTAAGATCTCAATATAAAACCAGATACACTAAATCTAATCGAAGTTAAAGTGGGAAATGGCCTTGAACTTATTAGAACAGGAGACCACATCCTGAACAGAACAGAACAATATCTCAGGGAATAAGATCAACAATACATAAATGGAGCCTCATGAAAATTGGAAAACTTCTCCAAGGCAGAGGACACGGTCAATAGGACAAAATAGCAGCCTTCAGAGTGGGAAAAGATCTTTACCAACCTTCCATATGACAGAGGACTAATATCCAAAATATATGAAGAACAAGAAATTAAACACCTAAATAAGTAAGTAAATAAATAAATAACCCAATTGAAAATGGGGTACAGCACTACAGAGAGATATCTCAACAGAGGAATATTTAATGGTTGAGAAGCAATTAAAGAAATGTTCTATGTTTCTAGTCATTAGGGAAACGGTCTCGTGGTGTGATTTGTGTTCTGCTGTGTAACCTTCACAGCTGCATGTTTCCTAACATTGGTGCATCTTGGCCAGGATAGGTTCCCTCCAGTGGGCACACTGATTGGGGAGTGCCGGCACCACACCAGGGCTGCTGGAGCCCTATCTTGCTCCAAATCCGCCCGAGATCTCCACTTCCTGGCAATCAGATCGCTAATGAGACATCCAACACTGGCTGGATTTGGTGAGTTTCTCTGTTGGTCAGCATTAACATTTCTCTGGGCAAGGGAAGAGTGACCGGCACCTTCTCACTGCTCTTTGAAGCAGGGGACCCCCCAACCAAGGTCTTCATTGGCCACAGTTGATCTCTATTGCTGGGCCTCCATCTCTATTAGGGCCTCAGTTTCCCCTGGGAGAGCTTCCCCATTAGCACACAGTCTCGTGTCCTCCCTCCCTCCCTCTTTCTCTCTCTCTCTCTCACTCGCTCTTGGCAAGTCCTAGCTAGGCAAACCGTCGTGCTCTCCGTCATGCCTCCTTGCATTTGCGCCCCAGTCCCTGGCCAAAAGCTGATGAGCTATTGCATCAAGTAGCACCTCTCGTTAGAGTGGCACCTTCTTTCAGGACACCTCTAAAAGGTCACTGACTCCCTCGCCTCCCGATGGGGAACACCCAGATGTCCATCCCTCCTGCGTCCCCACTGGGATGTCTTCTGGAGAATTTTAAAACTTTACATATGGAACCTCAGTTAAGGGCTTCTAAACTCATACGCCTCTGTAATAAGACTTGGGCTACATACTCTTTAGGTAAGGGTCCAAATTGGCCTATTAACGGCACGTTAAATCCCAATATTTTACGGGATCTTCTTAATTTCTGCCAGCAATCTGGTAAATGGAAGGAGATACCCTACGTTCAAGCTTTCTCTCTTCTCCGCTCTAAACCTCCTCTCTGCTCTTCCTGTTCTCCTGCCCAACTTCTTCTATCTATAAAGTCTCAACCTCAGGAGTTCTCTACCTTTGACCCTGCAGATGAAGCTCCACCCTGCTGCTCTCAACCTCCAGTTCTTCCGGAATCCTCACAACCTCTGGCACCTTCTCCCTCCCCTTCTACTCCTTCCTCTTCTCCTTCAGTTTCTCCAAAACCCTCGCTCCCTTCTCTGGCAGAAGACTGTCCTAGTCGCCTCACTCTGGCACCCACTTTCAGCCCACCTACAACCCATTCGTGTTCTATAGCAAAGTCCGCTCCCTCTACTCAGCATAAGCCAGCTTCAATCTTTCCCTTGTGGGAAGTAGCAGGTATAGACGGCTTAATTAGGGTGCATGTTCCCTTCTCATTAACTGAACTTTCTCAAGTAGAAAAGAGATCCTATACTTCTAATCCTTCTACTTTCATTAAAGAATTTCAAAATCTCACTCAATCTTATAGTCTCACCTTCCATGATATTTATATGATCCTTACCAATAATCTATTACCTGAGGAACCTGAGTTTGGGAACAGGCTAGAATGCATGCAGATGAGGTTCACCAAACAAATGCTTCACACCCATTCGGGGGGGGGGGGGGGGGCAGGAGGCGGTACCCGACCAGGATCCACAGTGGACTTACAATACTCCAGGAGGCATTTTAGCCAGAGATCAATTCACAACCTACCTTCTGGCTGGTCTCCGAAAGGCAACCCTTAAGCCAGTTAATTATGAAAAGCTCCAGGAGGTCATTCAGGACAGAAAAGAAAATCCATCTCAATTCCTAGAGCACCTTACAAAGGCCCTCTTACAACACACTAATCTAGACCCCGAAAGTACAGAGGGCAGACAACTCCTAATGACCTATTTTTTCTCCCAAAGTTATCAGGGCTAAGCTTAAATCCTTGGAGAAGGGACCTCTGACTCCACAGGCAGAAGTCTGGCCTTTAAGGTGTTCCATAGGAGAGATGAAAAAGCCCACAAACAAAAATACCAAATGCTGGTGGAGGACATCCAACCGGCCTTGGCCACTACCCAGGCTCCCTTGCCTTCTAAGGCACGAGGACCATCGGGTCCCTGTTTCACATGTGGTCAAAACGAGTCATTGGGCCCGGAGTTGTCCCACATGGAAACCACCACGCCCCTGCGCCAAATGTGGTCAAAAGGATCACTGGGCCAGGGTTTGCCCTGACCCCCAAAAGCCACCGGGGCCATGTCCAAAATGCCACCAAGAGGGAAAATTGGGGTGTTGATTGCCACCGTTTCTCCCATGATATAGGCATCACTCCCAGATCGCCCTCTGGCCTATATCTTAGGCCTGGCTATGGACAACTGAAGGTGTCCAGGTTCCCTTGAGCCAACCACTATCATCACTAACAGGGAGCCATGGGTAATGATTATGGTATCAGGGTGGGCCATCTCCTTCCTTGTGGACACTGGAGCCGCACTCAGTCCTAACAAAGTACTGGGGACCAACCTCTCCCTGTAGTTCCTCTATTGTTGGGGTAGGGGGACAACTATGGCAGCCTTGCAGGACTCCACCACTTAACTGTATTTTTAGGGAAGTTCCCTTGACTCATTCCTTTTT